TATTTTTAAGTCTTCATCCACTCCAGTCAATCATGCCAAATGTTTGGTGGTTGTTGCTTTTCTTCTCTATTTGTAACTTGTGTCTCACATGCCCTAGGCCAGAGATGATCTTCTGTGTAGAAATCTTTACAAAGCCATCAGTGCAGGCTTGCAGCTCTTAATTTGCTAAACTTTGCCTTGGGACTTGAATGTATTTTCTAATGCAGTCTGCAAATGAGAGAATTTGTGTGTCGTCTTACATACAAGCTGGTGTTGAAGAACAGAGCCCACTTTTTACAGTTCTAAATGCTTCCTCTCACATGGAGTATTCTATTCAGTGGGTTTTCCTTGCGCTTCAAGGCTATCATATCTATGTAGTTTCTTCTTATTTTTGGCTCTACCTCCAACCTTAGCCATTGTAATGAAATAGCATCTCAATACAAGCTCAGTCTAACAGAGTTTAACTTTTACTTATTCATTGGAATTTGTCACATTTTAGATAAAGATTGTTTTACTTAAATTCTTTCCAGTATTTTATTCCAAATCAATTTTACTTAAAAATTTTCTCTATAATATGTCCTTTTTTTCCCCAGTAAAATAAGGCTTGAACCCATGGCCTCAGTACTTTGACTTGGCATTTTTGCTCAAGGCTGGCACTCTACCACTTGAGCCACAGCTCCACCTTTTGGCTTTTTGCTGGTCATTGGAGATAAAAGTTTCAGGGAGTTGTCTGCCCATATTGTTTTGAATCACTAAGCTTAGTTCTCAGTCTTCTGGGCAGCTAGGATTCTAGGTATATGCCACCAGCACTCTGCTTCTAGAATATATTCTGTAAAGAAACTTCTTATAATGGTGAACAGGCTAGATGATCATTTTAGAAGTTTGGGTTGCCCAAAGTTCTATTTCCGGAGGGGAACAGAGGCCAGAGTGTCAGTTCATCTGTAGGTCTACCTGCCTCTGGCATTGGCTGGCACAGGTTTACCTCTGATCTTAACCTGAGAACGCACTTCCTTCTTTCCTTATTCTCTACTACTCAGTGTCCTTTCCCATCCTTCCCCTTGAAGTTAAAGACCCTTCTTGTCTTCTTGATTGTGTTTGTCTTTTCACTTGGTGAGTGTTACGTTAGACCTGTTTGACATTGGTTTTCACTTGAGAATAAGTGAATGGACATATGCATAGGCATTTCTCTTAGGTTTTTATTATAATAATCTTGCACTAAGCATTTAACCTCCCCATTGCTAGCATGAGGACACGGAGGGCATGAGAGGTTTTACAGAGGATCTGGGCTCTGACTTCCATGATGGAATTGCCTAGGCCCACATTCAGAGATACTAACTCACTAGGAGTAGCATTGAGTCTTACATACTGACTTTTTAAGTTGCTTTAAATGTGATATTTGATGTAAGTAGATCTGGAGGAAATAAATGACTGAGCTTGTCCAATTTCCACCCCACATGAGCTCATGATATTTTTTTCAAAGCCACTGTGTTGTGCAGCCTTTGAATTTGTGGGGTTAATGTCCAACTCAGAATCTCGTGCATGCCACAACTGTTACGAGCATGGCTGAGCTAGCGCCCTAGCTAAATTTGCATGTTATAACCACTAATACAGTTTAGGTTCTTAACTTCCAAGGTAAGAACTAAATTTCTAAGCCTCATGCTTTCCCCAGAGGAGAAATTTCCACTCACTGGGCTAAGTTTAGGTCATAGAAGTAATCATGCACTTTTTTTTTTTTTTGCCGGTCATGGGGCCTGAACTTTGGTCCTGGGTACTTTCCCTCAGCTCTTCAGCTCAACGGTAGCACCCTACCACTTGAGTCACAGCACCACTTCCGGTTTTATCTCTGCTTATGTGGTGCTGAGGAATCGAATCCAGGACCTCATGCTTGCAAGGCAAGCGCTCTATCACTGAGCCACCTTCCCAGCCCACATGATAATTTTTATACAAAGATTGCATTTCATATAATAATGTAATGACAACGCAAGTTTCAGAGAAGTAGATTTTTTCTGCCTAATGAAATGATGTGTTTACAACAATTACATAGTTTCAAATTATCCTACACAATAAACAGTTTAAAGGACTTTTATAACAATTACATAGTTTCAAATTATCCTACACAATAAACAGTTTAAAGGACTTTTATTTTTTCCTGTATTTTTAATCTACTTCCCCCCTTTTCTGTACACACACACACACACACACACACACACACACACACACACACACTTCCCTTTGCTTTTCACGGGGTGAAATTTGATTTGAAATGTAGATGCTAACAATGATACTGCTTTTAAATATTTTCTCAGTAGACTCAAGGAAAACTTTTGTTCTCTTGAATTTAGTAGAGAAGTCCTTAAAATTTAAAAACATACTAATAAACAAAACCAGAATAATTCTTCTGTAGGTAACTCCCTGATACCTTGACCCAGACAGAAATAAGCTGACAAATTTATTATGAGCCTACAGAATTTGTTTAAAAATCTCAGGTAATCTATAAAAATGAATAACACTACTAGAAACCCAGTAGTAAGTCTACTCATGATTTCTAATTGTATGTGTATTTGAAAAGTTTATTTTTAAAACTATAGTTCAAGTATTTATGAACACTTCTTGGTTGCTCAGCATTCAGAAAGCACATGCCCTTTGTTCCTGGTATATATTTAAGATGCACAGGGATTTAAAATAAAAAGGGGCGCAGGAAATTACAACTCAGACACGATTGCATTGTCCTGATAGACCTCACCGGTCTCCAATAAGGCCTCCATGCTTGAATTGTGTGCTGTTAAACCAAAGCTCATGGTTCATTTGACTTCCTGATAGCTTCATATTCAGAGAGAAAGTTGCCAATAAAAGCATATTGAAAATATTAAACATGCCATATTAGATAAGATTTCCCCCGGGCGGGGGGGGGGGGAGCAAAGGAAAATAAAACCTCCAAAGAAAACATTGTTTATTGAAATGGTGTTAGGGCACCTCCTGACGGCACATCTGTGTATTACACAGCTCATTCCACATTCTTTGACTTTTTTGGTAAATTTGGTTGCTTTCTCTTAGAGGTGTGGATTATTTCTAGATCTTACGTTTTAATGCATTTCTCTTCCAATGGATATACTTTGATGGGTGGATTTTTTTCTTGATATAGTATAAAGAGGGTGTAATGTATTCTTTGAGTTTCTTCTGTTCTTTCTAATTTGTGAGACTTCCCTTTACTCTGTGAACTTTGTCTCTCCCTACCAGATAACTCTGTTCTTCCGTTGGCTTTATTTTCATAAACAATTGATCTCACTTCCTTTGGGCTTTGGTTTTTGTGGGTTTTAATGAGATCCCTTCTGTGTCATGCCATTGGTTTTCTTTGCCTGTAACTTCCATGCATACATACTTTTCAACAGAGGACCAGGCCACAGTTTATACATAGACTAAATGGCTAATGGCTTGGCCCTCATTAGAGCACAATCCTCAATCCCTAGTGCATCAGAAGGCAGATTAAGATATCCTAAGATTCATTTAGAAAGAAAACCAGAGGACAAATTGATATTAAAGTAGTTAGACCAACACAGGATATTTAATTTGATGTCCTGGATACCAGGCTTTTATTACAAGTAGTATATATTTGTAATCCATATGCATTGGAATCATATAAATGGCCTCTAGGCAGTGTTTGTCAGAATAAATAAAAGTTGAAGCTCTTCAGCTTTGACATTGTTGAGATTATAGACAGAGAAAGTATGCAATCACAGTGCTTCTTCTATGTAGATTTGTGATTTCTCACACTAGAATTGTTTTTTTAAAAATAAGTTTTTTATTGTGAGAATACTGTACAGAGGAGGGGTTACAGTTACGTGAGCAAGGTAATGAGTACGTTTCTAATCAAGCATCACACTAGAATTCTTTATCCCAAACTTCCTGGATGAGTCCCTTAGCCTCTGAAAATTCACAAGATGGAAAACTAAATATAGCATTTTACAGCTCTTAGGTCCCTGCTTTGACAGTCTAGGATAAAAAAAAATCTCTAGGAAGGGAAAAAAATACAAGTTGAAATCTATGCTGGGCTTTATAGGACAAAAACATGAATTAAAATCACTCCTTCACATATAGCATTTGTGTTTACCTTCTTCATTGATCTATAAAAGATACCTTCTAGCCGGGCACTGGTGGCTCTCGCCTGTAATCCTAGCTTCTCACGAGGCTGAGATCTGAGGATCACGGTCAAAGCCAGTCCGGCTTATCTCTTATCTCCAATAAGCCACTAGAAAACTGGAAGTGGTGCTGTGGCTCAAGTGGTAGAGCGCTGGACTTGAGCTGCAGGGAAAGCACTTAGGCCCAGAGTTCAAGCCCCATGACCGACCAAAAAAAAAAAAAAGGTATCTTCTAGATGTTAAAGGATTATTATTGGTTGAGAGTATTTTATGTTTCAGTGCTGGGGGTGGGGGGGTCATTCCTAAGGCCTCCTGCATGCCAGTGCTTGCCTCCTGATCTGCAACCTAGGCTAACAGAGAACATGTTTTCTAAATTCCACTTAGAGGAAGCACCTTTTTTCATTACTACCCTCAGAGATGACATCACAGGAGGCAGTATTATTCTACTCTATTCTGATATATAATCTTGTGTTTTAGCACTCAGTGTTTAACTGAGGCTTATAAAAATGTTATGCCAACAAAAATCATTTACCTAAACATGTTAGTTACCTATTTAGCTTTGATTTTTATTATCTTTATAGAATTATATGAAGGGGTTTTAATTTACCATGTCAGGTTATGAGTGGTCTTCACAGTAACCCAGACATTTCCATGGATTCGTTCTACTGTCACCAAAAGACATGACTTCCTTATTCACACAATCTAAAGTAACTTATCATTTTCTCTAGAGTATTTGAATCAGGCTTGTCCTGTAAACTCAGAATTTCAGTGTTTTTGTGTGTGGTAAAATAAATTGTTGGGGATGAATCAGAAAACTGTAAGTTTGACTTGAACATAAGTAGCCCTCTGGACTAGCCCATAAAATCTTTCTACTTTCTGTTACAGTGTTTCTAAGGCCTCAGAGAAACTTGGAATCTGTAGACCCACAGTTTACAATTCGGAGGAAAATGGAGCAAATGAGAGAAGAGAAAGAGCTGGTGGAACAACTTCGTGAGGTATTCAGGAAATACTAGCAACCAAACAGTCCATCCCAAGACTGAAGCAGAATTTTGTATTTTTAAAAAGTCCTAGTTCCAACTCTAGCTAGGTCACTTTCTGACTCATTGGGACTGGGTAAGACACTCGGACTTTCAGTTCTTTGTGTACTGAAAACAGTTCTAATTTCCTTTTATGGGGTTTGTAAAAGAATATACGAAAGTAGAGAAGTAGAAATATTAAAAACACTTGAGCATTACTGTTTTTGTGTGTGTTGTACTGGGGCTTGAACTCAGAGCCTGGGTGCTGTCCTGAGCTTTTCTGCTCAAGGCTAACACTGTACCAATTGAGCTACAGGTCAACTTAAAACTTTTTGATGCTTAATTGCAGATATAAGTCTCATGAACTTTCCTACCTGGTCTGGCTTCAAACCACAATCCTCAGATCTTAGCTTTCTGAGTAGATAGGATTATGACAGACAAGGATGCACATTAGAAATTGCTTTGTGAAGCTGGGCACTGGTGGCTTACATCTGTAATCCTAGCTACTCAGGAGTCTGAGATCTAAAGATCATAGTTCAAAGCCAGCCCAGGCAAGGAAATCCATGAGACTCTTATCTCCAGTTAACCATTGGAGAACTGGAAGTGTAGCTGTAGTCTTGAGCAAAAGAGCTCACAGACAATTCCTAGCCTCTGAGTTCAAGTTCCATGACCAATTAAAAAAGAAGGCAAAAAAAAAAAGAAAAAGAAATTGCTTTGTGAACTTTCATTCACCAAGAAGCACTGTGACTGGAGGTAGAAGATGACTCCAGAGCTTCGGAAAGGATCCAGATTCTCTATTTAACCTTCTCTTTCACTGAGTAATTATTGAGCACTAAGGCAGGATTGAAGGTGTTGGATATAGGAACACAAAGGCCCTGATGATAGGAAGCCTGTAGTCTATTGTAAATAAACAGGGAACAGATAACAGATGCAATTCCAGGTTGCAAGGAGCAATGAGTACTAGGAATAAAATTTAAATTAAAGCTAGTTAAATTAAAGCTTCGTTAGTGTAGGTCATACTTCACATATGGTAAAACAGGTGATCAAGAGTCCTAAGGCTTAAACTCATGGCCTGGCTACTGTTCTTGAGCCTTTTTGCTCAAGGCCACTGCTCTGCCATTTGACTCACAGCTCCATTCCAAGCATTTTGGTATTTAATTGAAGATAAGAGTCTGATGGACTTTCCTGCCTGGGCTGGCTTTGAACCACGATCCTCATATGTCAGCCTGTTGAGCCATTAGTGCCCAGCTCTTAGCAGCATTTTTAATTGACTGTAGTTAACTGAACAATCACAAAGAGAAAGAACTTGAAAACAAGAGTAGAAGTTAAGATATTCCTCTCAAAAAGTGATGTGTATCTTATAGCTCTGTGATACACTGTCATGTTGGATCATTTGTGTTTTAATTCAGCAACATAAAATTAGAGATTAAAATAGTACTTAAATAATTACATGCCTACACTCAGGACAGTTCTGCAAAGAAGACTTATGTGATTCTATTATATGCCTGCTTTTTTTTTTAATTGTGAAAATACCGTACAGAGGGGTTACAATTACATGGGCAAGGTAATGAGTACATTTCTTATCAAGCATTGTTGCCTCCTCCTTTGCTTTTTTTTTCTTTTTTGGTTGGGCGTAAGGTCTGAACTCTGGGCCTGGGCGCTGTCTCTCAGCCCTTCAGCTCAAGGCTAGCACTCTACTACTTGAGCCACAGCACCACTTCGGCTTTTTCTGCTTATGTGGTGCTGAGGAATCGAACCCAGGGCCTCATGCAGGCAAAGCAAGCACTCTACCACTGAGCCACCTTCCCAGCCGCCATATATGCCTGCTTTTCAAGTTTTCATTTATTGCAAATAACCAGATCCAGCCATCTCTTCATAGGCTTAGACTCAGAAGGGGCTTCTAGAACAGAGCAGACACTCAGGGTTTTAGAATTGATTTCTCTCCTGCTCCCTAGAGGGTGGGGTGGCCATGCTCCTTCCTCTGCCTCTGCGGGTGTTGAGGCTGAACCCTTACATGCTGGCCCTCTGACAGGTGAAGAGAAGGCTGGCCAGCTCTGTGGTTTAATGTTTACATCATATATCTGAGACACAGAGTTGAAGGACTTAGTGGTATGTTATAATGTTATCACTTAATAGTTTGATTTAGTGATACACAATTCGAGACTCAAAGGGTATCTTAAAATTAAGATATATTTCATTGAGAGATTTATATAACTCTATTATATGTCTAATTTTAGGTCTGGGCAGATATTTTTTTTTAAGAGAAAACACAGTCTCTAGATTCAGTAGTACACTCCTGTCATCCCCAGTGACAGACAGAAGCACAGTTAGGAGGATCACAGCCTAGGTATAAAGTGAGACCTTACTTTGAAAATGCCCAAGACAAAAGGGACTGAAGGCATAAATCAAATGGTAGATTTCCTGCCTAGCATTGAGGAGGCCCTGAGGTTGATCCCAAATACCACAAGAAAGAGACAGAGAGAGAATTTGGTGATCCATAGGCACATCAGTGACCTAAATCTATGCCAGCGGAGTTCCAGAAGGAAAGGAGAATGAGAACTGGGCAGAAGAATTTTTTTTCTCAAGATGAGCAGGAAGATGTGGCTGCCAGAAGTAGCCGGAAAGCCCAGTGCTGGTGACTCACACCTCTAATGCTAGTTCCTTAGAGGTTGAAATCTGAGATTTGCTAGTTGAAAGACAGCCCAGACAGGAAGGCCTGTGAGACTCTTATCCCCAATTAGCTACTGAAAAGCTAGAATTGGAGCTTTGGCCCAAGTGGTAGAGCATCAGCCTTGAGCCCAAAAAACTAAACAACTGGACCTAGGTCCTGAGTTTAAGCCCCAGTACCAGCTCAATCAATAAATCAATAAATAATAAACTACTGAATGTGTTTCTGGACAGAGGGAATTTTTATTGTTTGAAAGTGTTAAGTCGCATTGATATTTAGCTCTGGGCATTGATATTTTCTAGCTCTGCTTTATCCTCCTCCTCCCCACAGTGAGTTTGTAGGTGCTTTTAGCTGTTTTTGTCAGGTTCTCTCACTCTCGGTAGCAACTGGCTTTCTCCTCTTTCCCCCAGAGCATCGAGATGAGGCTGAAGGTCTCTCTGCATGAAGACCTGGGGGCGGCACTCATGGACGGCGTGGTGCTCTGCCATCTGGTCAATCACCTGCGGCCACGCTCTGTGGGCAGCATTCACGTTCCCTCCCCAGCGGTTGTAAGTAAAGGCACACAAAGGAAATCCCCTGTAACTTGGCTCAAATCCTTTCTGTTGGGCTCCACAAATCCAGAAGAATAGAAAAAAAGGGAGGCGGTCTAGGAAAGCAACTTTTTCACTAGAAAGAATGTTTTACAGTTAATAGGCGGGGCTGGGAAGCTGGCTCAGCGATAGAGGGCTTGCCTCGCGTGCATGAGGCCCTAGGTTCAGTTCCTCAGTACTACATAAACAGAAAAAGTGGGAAGTGGTGCTGTGGCTCAAGTGGTAGCCTTGAGCTGAAGAGTTGGCCGACAGTGCCCAGGCCCAGGCCCCACAGCCGACCAAAAAAAAATCACTAGGCAAATGGTCCTCCCCTTTTTTCACTCCTCTCCTCTTACCTCCCTTCTTCTCCCCTTCTCTCTCCTTCCTTTCCTGACAAGGTCTCGCTAAGTATTCCAGGCTGGCTTCAAACTCATGATGTAGACCAGGCTAGCCTTGAATTTATAACCCTCCTACCTCAGCCTCTCATGTGCTGAGATCAGAGGCACACAACCACTATACCTGCTTGCAATTAGTTTCTTTTTTTTTTTTATCTTTGATATTTTGAGATAGCCCTGTAAAGATGTGCACTCTGGGAAAATAGCATAATGATCTGCTAAGTCAGAGGTTAGTCAGTGGGTCATGAGTTTAACAGCTGCCTTATCACACTGCGTTTGGGGATAACTAGTGAGGAAGGTGAAGCACCCACACCAGTGTGCTCAAGTTCTCACCTCCATACAGGGTAAATAGCACATGCACAGGGGATACTTGTGGGTGTTTTTTTGTGTGTCAGTACTTGAACTCAGGCCTGGGCACTATCTCTTAGCTTTTTTTGCTGTCACTCTACCACTTGACCACAGCTCCACTTCTGGCTTTTAGCAGCTAATTGGAGGTAAAGAGACTCATTGGCTTTCCTACCTGGGCTGACTTCAAACCATGATTCTCATTCCTACCTGGGCTGACTTCAAACCATGATTCTCAGCCTCCTCAGTACCTAGGGCCGCTGGCATGAACCAACTGCACCTGGCTTGTCCTTTATTTTTTTTATGTTTAGAAATATTTCTTTATTATGTTTGTAGGAATCAGATTTAAGGCCTCTGTGCTAAGCAAGCACTCTACTACAGTGCTACACCCAAAGTCCCGAAGCCAGGAAATCCCAGAGTGATGTGAGCCAGGAGAGAGATACAGAGACAGCTTCCTGGCTGAGTAGCTGGCATTTTGGATAAGCGTGTCTTTGAAGCCTGTTTAGGATTCCACAAACAGTGAAGAAAGGATTTCTATGCATAGCTTTTGCTTTGCATTAAGGGGAGCAGAAGGGCTTAGGGGCTAAGAATGTCTGTACCGAATTAAAATTCCTGATCTACTTCGAAAAACTGTAAGACTTTCGGCAACTTGATTTCCTCTTCTTGTTAGGATGAGATGAGGCATAACATAGCAGATCCATGAAAAGGTGAACCATTACTGTCATGTTTATGCGCAGCAGACTTTTTTAACTTTGGGGGCCGTAATCTCCAGGACAATCTCTAGGATGGAAACTTGAATGAAGCCCCTTTTCCTCTTCTCTTCTCCCTCTCCTCCCCCAGGAAGCTTTCACTGTGGCAGTATGTCCCCTACTTCTGTTTTTTCTCAGAAGCAGGAAAAAATAACTGATCATTGTTTCAGTTCTCACTTTCTTTTCTGTAATGTTCATTTTTTTTTTAAATTTTAAATTTAGCTACTTTGTGGTGCCAGAAACATTGGGAGCGAAAAGACTAGTTTGGCTCCTTTTCAAATCTGATCCTTATAGCTTTGGTGTAGGACAGTAAATTTTGCCTGTTATCTAATGTGGAACTTCCCAGCATCTTTTACAGATGAGGTCCAAATTGCCACAAAATTTAGCTGTTTGCCAAATGCTGACTTATTTTTCCTAAATGATGCTAGAGACAGTGTGTATTCAACCAAGAGTGTACTCTACTGTCATAACCAGGAACTTCTTACTCTGTGTGTATTGTATTAGTTTTCTGGGAAAAAGTGCTGTATTTTTTAGAAAAAAATATATGTATATATATATGTGTATACATATATATATATACATATATATGTATATACATATGTATATGTATATACATATATATTTTTTTTGGGGGGGGCGGTCCAGTCATGGGGCCTGAACTCTGGGCCTGGGTGCTGTCCCTCAGCTCTTCAGCTCAAGGCTAGTGCTCTACCACTTAAACCACGGCACCACTTCCGGCTTTTTTTCTTTTTGCTAATGTGGTGCTGAGGAATTGAATCCAGGGCCTCATGCATGCAAGGCAAGCACTCGACCACTGAGCCATCTTCCCAGCCCCTAGAAAATATTTTTTTTAAGTAGAAATACTACCTGACTGGAGAAAATAGAGAAATATAGAAGATAAAGAAATCATTCTTTATTACATTACCAAAGACAATCATTACTAATCACTTTTTTCTACTTAACATTTTCCACGTTTTCCTTAGTAAGCTTCTCACATCTACTATTTGGTAGTATTTAAATTTTATTAGAAAAGCCTAAATATTCATCTCATTAAAATTCTTTCCAAAAGTGCTTTTTAAAACTACCACATTTTAGCCAATGCTAAAGTATAGTTTTTCTGCTTAGACATTTAGTTTGTTTCTTTTTTTTTTCTATTTTTTCTTTTTTGAACTGATAATGGGATTTGAACTCAGGGCATAGGCATTGTCTCTTAGCTTTTTTTTCTCAAGACTGGTACTCTACCACTTAAGCCAAAGCTTAAGTGTGTGTGTGTGTCTGTGTGTGTGTGTGTGTGTGTGTATCTGTGTGTCTGTGTGTCTCTGTGTGTGTGTTGTGTGTGTGCATGCAGTTAATTATTGATAAGAATCCCACAGATTTTCCTGCCTGGTCTGGCTTTGAATGTCCATCCTCAGATGTTAGCCTCCTGAGTAGCTAGGATTACAGGTGTGAGCCACTAGCATCTGGCATGTTGGTTTCTAAGTAAATGACCACTTATACTAGTCAGCCTCTTGCAACTGTTAGCAGGCCCAGCCCTCTCCCTGTAGAATGGCTGTCATTGTGTGTGTTTTTGTGTTCCTTTCCTTGTCACAACCTCACAGCCATGAGGAGTGATCCTGGATCATACCACGGCTTCCTCTGACTGTTGATATGTCCGTTCCACTAGAGCTAAATGGCCATGAGGTTTGTCTTTTGGGTTCCACAGTTATATCTTTCATACCAAGTGTAATGTTATACACAGAATAAACAAGAAATATGGCTAGCTCTCAACCATCAGCTACCTTTCCCAGCAGGATTGCTGCTACTATTGAGAATTCCAATTTTTCATTCATGAAACTAATATTGGCCTTTTTTTTTTATCCCAAGTGCAAGGAAGACAGTGATAGACAAAATCTGTGCCATTATCCATCTGCCAGGAGACTGTACCTTAGGAAAAATGAGTTTAAGAAGGAAACACTGGCCCCTCAATTAGTGTGTTCTTTAATATAATTAGTGTGTCTTTTCACTCTTTGAGGCAAAACCCTAACCATTGTCCTTATGACAAGTACTTTTCTACCTGAGGCTAGATAATAATGCTAAGAATAGACTTTCTTTCTTCCAGATATGAGGAATCTTCTTTGTGTAGCTTGAGTGCACTCTCCATTGACTTCTTCTAGGGTGACCTAACTAATTTGAATGTTGTGGGGTACCATCGAAGCTTTAGAATAGATCCACTAAACCATAAGAAGTAAATGGAGAAAGATAATTGGCCCAGAGGGTCAGAGACAATTGTAGGGATTTCATGGGAAGAAATGCTTCTTCATGCTCTGACTTGTCTAGAACCTCTTCCTTTGTTATCCCCATGTCCCTCCCTCAGGTCTGCTCTTCCTGTCTGCTCTTCCTGAGCCTTCCTGAAGCCACCCTGCCCTGAGATGGGCATGGGTAGGCAAAGCCACCTAAGCACCTGTTTAGTGCTTCTTTATGTGGTCCATATTGAGAGAGACACAGTGTCTGATGGAGCCAGGATGGACAGTATTCTCACTTCCCAACCACGTCGTTCCTTACGGCTTGGAGGCAGGCCTTTTCTTCTTAGAATAAATACTGCACAGATTTATACTTTAATGATGATTGATTTGTGTCCTCAATTTCCTTCTATCACTTATAACCAGGATGAGAGAAGACTGTATAAAACACAACTTCTGGAACTACAATGTGTAGCTTGAGTAGTAGAACACCAGCCATGAACAAACAAAAAAACAAACAAGCAAAAAAGCCACAGTAAGAGTACAAGGCCTTGAGTTCAAGTTCTAGCCCTGGCATAGTAAAAAAAAAAGGGGGGGGGAGAAGGAGGGAGATGGAGGAATTGACAGAAAGAAAGAAGGAAGGGAGAAAGGGAAGGAGGGGGAGAGAGGGACGTTAGAAGGAAAGGAAGGAAAAAAAAAACATGACTTCTGCACAAGATTATTATGTGCTTGTTTTCCTAAGGAAATCAATAGCGCAGTATCAAAATTCATCAAGAAAGTTTGAAATTTATCATGTCAAAACTAGAGAGTGTAAATCAGATGTGTCAAAACTAGAGAATATGAATCAGATATACCTGTTATCCTTCACCTTCAAGATCTTCTGAAAAGAAGGTCACTCAGTTATTAGAACTGTGGGGGGTTAGCTTTGGGTTAAGTCCTGTTTTTATTGCTATTTATTTTGCTGCATCTTTCTGGTTAAATCTGATATTTGCATGACTTCTATGTTAATTAACCTGGTGGATTTGATGTATTTGTTTTAGAAGGATGATAGTTATGGTATATTTTTTGGTGAATTAAAGTAAGTTACACAGCAGCATGATCCTATAAAATGTGTACGTGTGTATGTACATGCATGTACATACATGCCTATATTTGTGTGCAGAAAAATTTGCATATAACATGGATGTACACATAGGTATACATGCATACACACATATACATATAGGCACTCAAACATGTACACACACCATGTCTGGATATAAACCACAGCATTCAGGGTTTTAATAAAATCTTGTAATTCTTATTATTTTTTTTTTTTTTGCCGGTCATGGGGCCTGAACTCTGGGTCTGGGCGCTGTCCTTCAGCCATTCAACTCAAGGCTAGAGTTCTACCACTGGAGCCACAGCGCCACTTCCGGCTTTTTCTGTTTATGTGGTGCTGAGGAATCGAACCCAGGACCTCATGCTTGCAAGGCATGCACTCTACCACTGAGCTACCTTCCCAGCCTGTAATTCTTATTTTAATATGTTATTTCTCTATGTTTGCAGCCCAAACTTAGCATGGCCAAATGCAGAAGAAATGTGGAAAATTTCTTGGAGGCATGCCGGAAACTAGGAGTACCAGAGGTAACATCAAACTTAATTCAGTGAACCATATTTTAAAATAAACCTGTACTATATGTATTTGAAATGTTAAATACAGGTAAAGCTTTGTGTCTCTCATTTAGTCTTCCTTTCTCAAGGAATCATTTTGGATACATTATACAATGTTTTAATTTAACTTGTTCTAGTGCGTGAAATTAAAATGGTTTTATCATTGCAGGTTCAATTCTGAGGCTTTCTTTAGGGAAAGTAATTTCCTTACGGTTTTAAAATCAGTGTGAAATTCCAAACTTAAAAGAGCATCAGTCAGCCTGATTGGATGGCATCAGTCGATTCTCTTAGCAGAAATGGCCGAGGTTGCATGACCTGGGAGCAGGCAGCATTGGGAGGCTTGGAGAGTTGAGCGATGGCAGCGGATTGCTTCCTATCCCAGCAGCCCAGAGTTGCCTACTAATTGCTGGTTTTAATTCCCAGCAGTTGCATTTTGAGTATATGAATCAAACTAATCAGTGTTGAAAGTAGTGTACTTATTGTTATTAATACCAGTAATAATAATTATTATTATGCATTGATTTATAAGTGATTCATGATTTATATTTACAGTTTCTCCTTCTAATCTGCTCATTTGGCAATTCTCCATAGCCATTCTAACCATACAATTGGTTACTTGTTCCTATGCCCAGATGTTTGATTCTCAGGCTTTTAAAGACTTAATGTTAGGAACCTAAAATGGTTTCATAAGGTGACTTGAGTCCACTCTGTGAATTTGGGGGTAGTAGCCATTTACACTGAAAAGTTTCTTATTTGTGGAAAACAGAAATAAATACAAATTCTCTTTCTTAGGATTTCTCTTTCCTTCTTTAAACTATATTTTTACTATCTTTAGGTAGTTGTACAAAAGAGTTACTATTCAATAAATCAGTTCATAAATGCAGTAATCTTGATCAATGCCAGCCTTTCTATCATTCTTTCCCTCCCTGTCAGTCCCTCCCACCAATTTTTCTAACTTCATAGGTTAGGCATTGGATGTTATTACTGCATTTGTTCCTCCCTTTCATTCATCTGCCCCCCTTTCCTTGACCTCACTCACACATACGTGGATGAAACAACTTTTAAGACTCTATCATGAAATACTCTTTGAGTGTCATCTGAAATTGATTTCATTATAAATCAGTTCAGCCGTAGGAGTTGAACTGATCAAGGTCTTTTTTCCTCTCTGTTCCTATATGTCCCTTCCTTCCTTCTTTTTTCTTGTATTTCATTCTTTACTTTCCTCACTGTCTTTTAGCAAAGAGGTCTGCAGTTCAGAGTAGTGGCCTGATTCTAGTTTTCTGGTTTTTTGTTTTTGTTTTTTGAGGGAAAGAGGTGTTCTATTAAATCAGTATCAAACAAAAGGAATTTATACATTTTGAAAAAAAATATAATCTTATAAAATGGACCAATTCTTCTTTCAACAGTATTGATCTGTATGTTGATATCGTATTGTCCATTCTTGACTTGAAATACTCACTAGAACACACACTTCCCCTAATAATTTGATTCTGCTGGGGGCAGGTAAGATTCCCTTGTGTGAATGAGAACTTTATGGCAGGTTTCAGAGGGTAGATTATTTGGTCTGCACTAAAAACTACTAAGTTATGACCTACCACCCTGGCATTATTTCAGCTCCTCACAGGTTTTTAGCTACAGTGGTAAAAAATGAAAAGAGAATGTCCTTATCCATTTACAGTGAGTAAGGATTGTTAACTCAAAAAGGAAATTGAATCACCATAAAAATGCAGGTTAGGGTGTATCATAAATTCTGCCCCTGGCATTGGCTGCCAGGCATCAGTGGTGGCTCCTAACTCCAAAGAAAGTCAAAATAGAAAAACCAAATGACCTGTCTTGCCAACGTCCCAATGCAGTATGCTTAGTAACAAGTATATTTTGGAAGTTACTTTTGAGGTTTTAAGTACTTTTTCAAGTCTACAGGGTGCATGTGAGTATGTACATAGATAGCCATCCTGATGGATACTTCAGTAGCATTCTAGTTGTAGTGAGAGTTACTTTTAGACCATTCCTACTAGAAAAAAAAAGGTATGAGCAGCTAGATACCAGTAGCTGATGCCTGTAAATACAGCTACTCAGGTAACTGATCCTTGGTTCAAAGCCAGTCCAGGCAAGAAAATCCATGAGACTCTGCCTTCCAGTTAACCACCAAAAATCTAAAAGTGGAGCTGTGGTTCATGTGGTAGAGTGCTAGCCTCTAGCCACATAAGCACATATGTGCACATACACACACACACACACACACACACACACACACACACACAGAGTGCTAGCCACATAAGCACATGTGTGCACGGACACACACACACACACACACACACACACACACAGAGTGCTAGCCACATAAGCACATGTGTGCACGGACACACACACACACACACACGGAGTGCTAGCCTCTAGCCACATAAGCACATGTGTGCACGGACACACACACACACACAGAGTGCTAGCCACATAAGCACATGTGTGCACGGACACACACACACACACACACACACACACACACTGAACAGTTAGAATTTCTTAGAATATTATTAAGAGGAAGGAATAACCTCAGTGGAAACCCAGCAATTCTCAATTGGAAAGTAGCTGGCAATTTGTCCTGTTGGCATATTTGAATCTTATAGAAGGCACAAGGAAGTTTCCATTCAGGAATGGGTCACCGCTCTAAGAATGGGTTGCCATGTGGTAGAGACAGATGAGCTCTTCCCTCTTAGATAAGCATGCTTCTTTCCCTTCTTAAAGAGGTGCTGGTTGAATGTCTGTCTGGCTCACTGGCACTGATGATTTACACTAGAATGACAGTTGTTTCACAGGGGTTCTTGGAGAAGTTTCCTATCTATACTTAAACATTTTAATAAAATAGTACTGGGCCAGGGTTTGCTCAAGCCACCTAACTGCAAACCCCAGTACTGCTGACAGCAGTGGTAAGAGCTGGGTGCTGGTGGCTCATGCCTGCAATCCTTAGCTACTCAGGAGGCTCAGATCTGAGGATCCCAATTTGAAGCTAGCCAAGGCAGAAAAGTCCATGAGACATATAAATTAATCAGCAGACAGTTTGAAGTAGAGCTGTGGCTGAAGTGGTAGAATGCCAGCTTTGTTAAAAAAAAAAAAAAAAGGATAGTACCCAGGTGCTACATTCAAGCTCCAGTGTCAGCGCATGCATGTGCGCGCATATGTGCGCATGCGCGCGCGCACACACACACACACACACACACACACACACACACACACACACACGCATGCATGCATGCATGCACGCACAGATAGGACAATAGGACGAATAGCATTACTTTTTTTCTGTTGAATCAGATGTTTGGGAACACACATCCACTGATTTCCCTGTAATCAACATAGGTAATGTTCTGTAAGTTTTAAGCTTCTTCTTTGTTTTCCTTCCACACTACTTTCATATACATAAGCTAACTCAGACTTTGAATTCTGCATTCTACATGCTAAAATAGCCTTTGTTAGAGGCATCAACTCAAACTGCACATCCAGGTAAGCAGTTCATGCAATTATATCAGGAGCATGTGGACAGATACAAGGAGCTAAGGAGATCTAGTTTCAGTATTACGTGTAAAGTCCTATAAGAGGATGGGAGCAATTTTAAAGTTGTCTCGATGATGATAGTTTATTGTATTTCCTTACATGAGCAAAATCACAGAGATTTCCATCAGGACTGGTGATCTTTCATGAAACATTTATGTGTGATTCAGCAGCTGGAACCACACAACTGGTCTGTGGTTAGTTGAATATCCAGGAAATGTGTCCACACAGGACGTGGTAGGTTAGCCCCTAAATATACTGAATAAACAGTTGAGGGAAGTGGGCAAGACTGTCCTGCACGGAATGTTGAGCTAACTATTTACAATGGAGGGGAGGCATGGTCTTGCAGTGGTCTGAGGTGTGGCTTTTCCATCCATGTGGCTTCTTGTGGGGGGGCCATGTTGAGTTTTGTAGGCAGGGCAAGGACAGTCCATATACCTTTTGGAGGCTGATGCTGGCTTGGTGACATTGTGCAATTGTCTTTGATTTCTGTGTGGGCTCCAACTTGGTCTCCTGAAAGGCATTGATGGCTCCTAGATCTTCAGGACAGGGTCTTTGTATCACCCAACTGTCTAAGCCTGGGTACATGAAGCTATTTATGGACAGCTGAGCTTCCCTTGCCAATTCTCTGCCCCTTTGGTCCTTCATGGCCTCTGATTCGTGGTTGGCTATTGACCTAAATTTAGGGAAGTTTTATGATTCTCAATATTCTCTTAGGGTGAGAGAAGCCTATGATTTATGAAGCTTCGAAGGTATTAGAAACTGGGCACTTGGGTGTGAGCCTAGTTATTCCGGAGGCCAAGATCAGAGGATTGCAGTTTAAAGACAGGTGAGACAGGAAAGTCCATGAAACTCTTTTAAACCACTGAAAAATTGAAAGTAGAGCTGTGGCTCTAAGTGCTAACCTTAAGAGCAAAAAAAGCTCAAGGAGAGTGCATAGGCCCTGAGTTCAAGCCCCAGGAATAGTGGCATGCTCATGAGCGTGCATGAATACATGTGTGGACACACACATACTTTTAGAAAAATGAAAGCCAGATGCTGGTGGCTTATACCTATAATCCTGGCTACTCAGGAAGCTAAAATCTAGGATTATAGTTCAAAGCCAACCTGGGCAGCAAGATAATAATGTGAGATTCTTTTATAGCTTTTTTCCCCCCAAGAGCTGATGACCAAACTCAGGGCCTTTATTTGCCAGGCAAGTGCTCTTCCACTGAGCTAAAAAAAAAAGCCAAAAGCGGGGGTGTGGCACACGCAAAAGAGCACCAGCTTTGACTGAAAAAGTTAAGGTAGAGCAATAGGCCCTGAGTTCAAGCTTCATTACTGGCACCTGGCACACACACATATACACACATGCACATGCACACACACACACACACACACCCCAACATATTAGAAAACATTGATTTGGTTTCCCAGGGAATGTTTTC